ATAACAAAAACATCACTTTTCTCTCAGACCTTTGCTGGCCAGGGTATACATACCCACTGGTTTTCTTCAAGTACATTAAAGGACATAATAGTGCTGGTAATCACAGAAAAGGAACAAGTTTCTTCATGATTGCTTTACAAAAGTTTTCACTTACCAAATCAATAAATGTGAATTATGATTTCACATTTGAATGACTGTGTCTATATTGGAAAATGTATCCATACATTTTGATTTATGTCAAAGGAGAGACAAAAATGAGTTGGTTTGGTTACAATTCCAAGTTTTTGTTTTCATTCCTTCCTTCCTTCATTTTTGTTGAGTTTCTTCAGCTGACCAGGTACTGGGTTGGTATGAATCTTCCCTCTACAAAGTGTTCCTATAGAAACTCCTGCCCAATACAGATACGCTGCCTCTGCTGGGTCACACGAAGCAGGACATTTTCTAATGATCCTTCTACTCCACGTGACAAGCCTTCCCACAGAAAGCCTGTCCCTGTGTGCAAGCAAGGTGTTTGGCATCCTGTAGTGGAAAACAAAATTATTTTTTTTCCCCATGATAGGCCTGTTTATTCGATAACTGCTTCATTAGCATGGCTAAGGAAATCAAGAAAAGGGTGAAGAAATGGAGTACAACAGAATCCAGAAAGGTTATTCTAATTAATAGATGTAAACGAGGAACTGAAATACATGTTTATAGATTTTGTAGAAAACAACTTACTTTTCACCATCTGTTTCTATTTAGAGCTTGAAATTGGATATCCAAAATGGCTGTGCGAGGCTAGGTTGAGGAGTCCGGATGCAAGAGCTTCACAACCGTCCCCAGATATTTGCTATACAAATTTCTGGTAGTTTCTCAAATGTGCTTTATCCAGACAGAAACAACAACTTTCTGCGAATAATTACTTGCAGAATTTACAACCTGTAGCATATGCATGTGCTACAGAGAGAAAATTTCTTATGGTTTTTCAAATGCTTGTTAGCCTAATATAAACAGTCTCCTTGCTCTAGTATTTTCCTACAAAATGTTACTCTAGTTTCTTTTAAAGGAATCAAAACTCCGAGGATGGTAACATAATGTAAGAAACAAACATCATTTCTTCTTTCGAAACATAAAAGTGCTTATTTTAATTTGAACATGGCGTCACTACCACTAATTCTAGTTTAAATGAAATTCTTTCCTGCAAAAATGCCAAGAAAGGCAGGGCAGGGTAGCATTGATTCCACTCATTAATTAAAAGTGAAGAAAGCAGAAGAATCGTCACCATAACTACAGAATAGTTCTTAAAATCTTGGTTGTAGCAACAAAGCAGGACACAAAATGCTCCTGGCAATTCTAAATTCCTAGATTTGCCTTTCTAGAATTCCATAAGAAGCTAACAGAAGTTAGAG